CTCTCTCTCTCTCTCTCTCGCTCTGAGTCTCTCTGCCGGGCTTTCAGGCTTTGTCTCATCTTTTGTGTCTCCCTCTGTTCGGGTTTGCTTTCAGCCCCCTGTAGTTTGCTGGTCTTCAGCCCCTGCAAGTTCTGCGGTGAGCCCAAGCTTGCCCCTTGCAGTTTGCTGGCTGTGGCCCCTACAGGTTTGCTGGCTGCCTGCAAACTCTGACTGTCCTAGTGGTTTGTGTTGCATCTGCAGGCGTTGCTACTCATTTTGTCTCAGTCTCTTCAAGTGTCCTGCATCTTTTCTCATCTCTCTCTGTCTCTCTCTGTCTCTCTCTCTCTCTCTCTCTCTCTCTCTCTCCCTCTCTGCTTGTTTATCTTTTTGTCTGTCTGGCTCGTTTTTACCCTTTCTTCGCTCTCTTCTCTCTTCTCTCCTTTCTCCGCCGTCTGCTCTCCTCCACACTGCTCTCCCCACTCCCCACTCCCTGAAACCTCAAACGCAAACCAGTCGACATGTCAGTCAGAAGCCGAGAGCATGCTGGAGGCACACCTAGACGGCTTTAAATTTACTGATTGCTGAGCTGAAGAATCAAGACCATGCGGGACATGCGACGTGTCGTGTCATGCCATTGCAACCGCATGCTGGAGGCGCACCTAGACGGCTTTAAATTTACTGATTGCTGAGCCTGACCTAGGAATGGTATTGTGTGTCCCATGACGCCAACCGGGACTCCGGGACTCCATGCTTCTTTTCCCCACGAACACCATACACATCTCGGCCTGGATCCAATCCCTTGAAACGTGGCCCGAGCTTCAAACTGCCTCACCTCAAACACGGCTAAACCCAATTTCCAAGTCACACAATTGCCTCCTGTGCTTAGAATCACTGGTCATCAGATTGCTGTCCCGTGCATGATGTGAGAGCAGATCCGCGATCTGGCCTTATTACTGCGCTCTCTTCTTTGGTCGAGACAGCGCAGTAACTGCAACCAGCAAAAAGTCATTCTTTTGTGTTTACTACAGATTGTGGCTACCGGCCAAGGCATAAGGGTTGAAACCACGGAAAGGGGAGGCCAGTTCGTACATTGCCCTTGGCCGGAAGAGGACAATTCCTTCAACCTACACCCCACACACACACACAGACAGAGAGAGTGTGGCAGAGAGAACGGACACACACAGACACAGACACACACACACACACACACTGAGACACACACACACACAGGGCTCCGGATACAAAGGTCGAAACCCTCGCAACCCCGAGGAAAAGCATAAAGACCCGGTTGAAAATCAAAGAATATCCTTCAAGCGCCTACAATTTAAATCTTCACAGGCCCAAAGCCGCCGAAGCCTAGTCAGAAGACTCATGCTCCCGAATCAAGACCTTGTGCAACCCCTGTGATTCTTACAAAGGCTTACTCCAAGAGAACAAGGATCTTCGACCCCCATCAACCCTACAAAGGCCCACCCCAATAAAACAACAGAGCTTCCTGAAAGTGCTTTCCAACTAAATCTGCATAGCCCCATATCTCCTGAAGCCTAATCCGACTACCCACACTGCCGCATGAAGACCTTGTGCGACCCCCATGAACCCTAGAAATGCTCACTCTCTATTAACTAAAACCCGCCGAAGAATGACCTTCTGCAAACCCCCATGAACCCTGCAAAGGCCCACTCCAACAAAACAACAGAGCTTCCTTACAATTTCTTCAATCGAAAGCTGCACAAGCCCAAATCTCCGGACGCCTAATCCGAAAACCCAAGCTCCTAAATCCGATCCGAAAGTCCGAGGACCTCAAGCAGAAGACCCTCCCTGCCCTCTTCCCTCAGCCCCATTTACTCTTGTCTCTATCTGTCTTTGTCTCTGCTTCTCCCTCTTTCTATAGATACATATACATCTCTATATATACATATATATATAGCTATCTATCTCTGTTTCTCTCTCTCTCTCTCTCTCCCTCTCTCTCTGTCTCTCCCTCTCTCTGTCTGCCTCTGCGACGCGTGGCAAGAACGCTGGCGTATAAGCAGCTTTGCAAGTCGTGCCTCCAGACCACAGGGTGTGTCTCTGGAGTGTTTCTTCTCCGGCCCGTTGATCGCCAGCTCCACCTTGATGTTTTCCCCCTCCGCCTCCAGGGCAGAAGCGCACATTGAATCGGGCTGGGAGAGAATGGGTGCCTGCGCCTCTGACCAGCAAGCGTCATCGCAGCAGGAGCAAATGCAGAACAGCGAACGTGACTCGCCTTCCATGCCAGCGCGGAAAGGATCTTCCCTTCCTTCGGCAAGAAGGTGAGGGTCACCGCCAGCTTGTCCTTGTGCCTCTTGCCCCCGCCAAGCAGACATTGGCGTACAACGTCTTCTTGGAGACCTCCCATACTTAAGACACCCCCAAGCTTTCGAGTACCATACAATCATGCTTCACTTAAAGTAGCCGTAGCATGGCAACTGGGAGATGGGATGAGCCTGCGTGCTTTTTCTGCAGGCTCAGCTGGCGCATAACCGTGTCCGCGAGGTCAGCGAAGCACATGGCGATCGATGGACTGTCGTGTTTCGGGACAGTGATCTGGCGGCTGACACGACGCTTCTAGCCGAACAAGGGCGAGCCATCTCTGTCTCATCTGACGTCTCCCTCCAACTGCCAATGCGCATCAAGGAGAACTTGAAGCATGCGGCTGTGGAGAATGAGCTTCGCAACAAGCGTGACAAGGACGCCATCTATAGCCGCATTGCCCAGAATGAGCTTAAACAGGGTGATACGTCCAATCGACTTGCCAAGCTTGAAAAGGATGTCGAGGCACTTCGTGATGCTGGAAGTGGTGGTGGTGTGGGGCCTGATGCTGCCCATGGTCAGTCTGATCCTTGGCTGGCTTACCGTGCCAAACATGGCCCACTTCCTCCCAAAGGTCATGTGGGTGCTCCATTGCCTTCTGGAGGAGAAGGACGCGATTCTGGTGCTTCCCGCGACAAGCTCAGCGAGGAGGAAGAGCGTACGCTGGTTCTGGGTGGATGGGCACAGGATATACCAAGCGGCAGATCATACAAGACTAGGCGGGTGTCTGCGTGAAGCGTGAGGACGTCAGAGGACTTGTGGATGCACAGGAGCTCACTGTCTATGGTCCAAGAAGGTCCTTCGGCTTATTGCGCTTCCAGGTCCGGGATAACGAGCAACAGTCGGATGTGCGCGATCGCATGTGGAAGGTGAATCAGGCGGATCCTCTGTGCAGCGTCAACCGATCTCTATAATGAAGATGTGAAGATGCTGTCGTCCGGGTGGGTGGACCTTGGAGCTGTATCCCGCGCCTTGGGTGTTTCCTGGGCTCCCTAGTCCCTATAAAGAACCTACCTTCTTTAGGACTTACAGAAGACTTTCATCATCAGGAGCCCTACAAAAGGGTAGGTGATTCAGGCTCCAGGGAAGGGTTTCGGGTGTGGGCGAGGAGGGCTCCCTGGCTTTAGGGGTCTTCACCCCGAGATCCGGGAGCCAAAATCCCGAAGTCTACTTGAGCTGAACCCTGGGCTTATGGGGTTTAGGTTTAGGGTTTAGGGTTTAGGTTTAGGGTTTAGGGATTCGGATTTAGACCCTAAGCCCTAAAACCCCAAACCCTCAACTCCTCCACCCTGAAACCCTAAACCTGAACCCTATACAAACCCTTGAAGCCCCAGCGAAGCCCTAACTTGAACTGGGCATGGGGCATTCCGTTGCTCCGGGAGACTTTGGGGACCCACTCGGAAACCTGGTCGTTCAGGGGTACCTGTAAGGGCTCCTTTTAAAGGGAATCTCAGGGAATCTCTCAAAGGGCCCTTACAAGAGCACTTTAAGGAGCCCTTAAAGGAGCCCATAAAAGGCTCCTTTAAAGGTTCCTAGAAGGTCACTATAGGGTTTAGGGTGTAGAAATTCAGAGATTTCGGGTTCTTGGTCGAAAGCTTGAGGGCTCCGGGCCGAGAACCCTAAACCCTAAACCCTAAACCCCTAACACCCTAAAGAGAGATTTAGCGTTCAAAGCTTGAGGGTCGAGGGTTCAACGGTTCAGGGCTTGGGGCTCAGACTTGGAGGGCTTGTGAGGTCAAAGTTTTAGGGTTTAGGGCTCAGGGTCTTTAGAGTTTAAAAGGTTTAGGGCTTTAGAGTTTTAGCGTTTAGGGTGTTAGGGTTTGGGGTGTTAGGGTGTTAGGGTTTAGGGCTTTAGTGTTTTAGGGTTTAGGGCTTTGTAGGGTTTAGGTCTTAGGAGAGTTCAAAGACTTATATAGGGTTTGGGGGTTTAGGGTTGGCTACGAGTTGGACAGGCGAAAGACCTCTCGGTTAAGACACGTTGCAACCCTAAGCCGAAAACGCCAAACCTCTAAAACGTCAAGCCCCCAAGCCCTAAACCGGGCTTTGCGATTATCTTATGCTGTGGTCATACGGGGTGCTATGTGGGATACTTCGTCACTATTCCGTGCATGAGGTTTAAGCATTTTGCGGAAGGTTTACCCAGATCTTCCAAAACCCCTTAATTCATAAATATATGCCTCAACTCATATTACCGACCCTTTTGCAGTCTACAGTATTCATTTAGGGATGTTGACAGATCTGGGTACCCAATTCAGTTTGGGGTGTAGGGTGAAGGATCGAAGCAGGGTTGTATGTCTGGCCCGTGCTTTAGTGTTCAGTTCAGCTCAATGCCTAAACCCTAAACCCGTCCGAGCTCAAAAACCCTAAAGCCCTCAAAACCTAAAGCCCCCGACGAGCTTCTGACAGTCTCACCTGTATATCTCATAAATCCTCGGTGCGGAGCTTATTACACGTCGGGCTTCCCGAATGAACTCCACAGGGCCATGAACCGACAAGTTTTTGTCCATGGGGAGCTCCAACTGAAACCACGCCAATGATACTTTAAACTAATACTAATATAGTACAATACCATGTTGTAATATATGACGTAATGTTGTAAGCAAGCAAGGGCATATACATATATGTATCAGTATATGCACATATGTACGGTTTAGGGTTTAGGGTCAAGCTACCAAGGCCCTGAAGATATCTAACCCGCAGTGACTACGAAAAATATGAAAACATACCAGCAAGGTATGTTAAGTATTCTCCCACCCTTCCATCCCTTCCATTGCAGCAGTTGCCTCCCGAGCCGTGTTCGGAACCGTTGAGGGCTGCGCGCAGCGCTGCGCGTAGACGGCGCCCTTTCAAAGGATTGGAGTTGAGGCCTCTTTACCCGGCGAGTCTCAAGGGGCTTAGGGCTTCGGCTGCTTTGTGTAGGCTGTTACCCATAGGCCCCTAAGTAGTTCCTTTTTATGGCCTATGTTTAGAATCCTATAAGGTAATCCCAAAATTAAAAGGAGCTACTTAGGGGCCTATGGGTACGGGTGTTTTGAAGGGGCTTAGGCCCGGCTTTAGGGTTTAGGGAATCAGAACAGGGTTTCGGGGTATGTGATGGTGTGCCCCACTTCGACCCTGCATTTTTTTTCGGGGCTCATCGCGGACGGAGCCTCGGGGCTGTTGATGAAGCTGCGCATGCAGCTCTCCGTGGCCGGAGATGGCGCGACCTGCCCGCAGCCGTGGCTCGAAGAGTTTCCGGCTTCGGGTTTAGGGGCTTTGGGGC